ATCCTACCGTAGTGCTAATCGATAGCCCTAACCCTAATTCTTACTCTAACCCCCAAAACCCTTACTTTAACCCTAACCCCTAAAACCTAACCCTAATCCCAAGTTGGTGGAACTGCACATGCGCAGAAAGGCTCGATAGCATGTCTTGATAGGTAGGATGTTATGACAGAACACTGGACCTGACAACACCTAACCTTCATCATAGCCTGACCTATAGCTTACCTTCAACATGCTTAGAACACTTACATTAGCTGACGGGCAAAATCATTAATACGAAGCCCAATTTATAAAAATTGTATTGAATATCTTGTGAAATTTATTGAATAATGCACTGAAAGTGAAGAACATTTACCCATCATAAAGTTGAAATATCATTTTAATGGTAGCTCTTATGTATATCACTTTTGTTTCTGGTCTTGACAGTAACCACTTGTCAACATCAGTACATGAAACAAGGTTTAATGTGGGTGGTGCACATATCTGATGTGGCGGCAAAGTAATCACATGACCACCATCATCATCATTCTCATCACCAGCACTGTTTTGCAAGACATAATTAATTTTTGTAAAGCTCACCTCATCCTCGTCATCCTCAGAGTCGTCCTCCTCGACTGGCTGGTACCTTTTGAAGGCCTTGATGAAATTACAGCCATTATCCATGACAGTTGTGATTTTGTGGGATATGCCATCATGAGTGAATGTTGTCAAGCTCAGCTGCGATACTGTCATGAGTATGACGACCCTTGAATCTTCTGCATGTCAGTACTGCTTTCCCTCGCTCCATGCTGCGTGGATTTATCCAATGTGCAGTTAGGCTAAGATTTTTTTGCTTTTATTATGCGCAGTCCAAATGTCGGCTGTAGTAGACACATATTCTAACTCTTCAAATGTCTTTTTGAGCTCGACATTCATTTTAGCATACTCAGCGTCTATGTATTTGGAAAATGTCTTTCTGCATGGCGGGCTTACCCCTGCTCTTGCAGATATTTTGACAATGAGAGCTCTGAAAGAATCCGACTCAACTGTTGATAATGGCAACATGTTGTCAACAACCTCCATGGCTACCAGCCTGTTTAGTTCAGCCTGTGTCGCACAAGTTTTTGTGTGGTATTGGGGTATCCCTCCAAATCAAGGTTTTAGGGCTTTGATGGCGTGTGTCACGCTTGGCGGCGCACGGAGCGTAGGAAAGGCGCAGGAAGCCAAGAGTCGGGGCAAACACGGGGTTTAATAGGAGCGGCAACACAAGGAGCAAGCAAAACATGGGCTGACATTACAATGACCGGACTAGGGAAACAAACTGAAATGCGGACTAAATACACTGAACTAATGACGGTAACCGGAAACAGCTCCATATGGGGTTAATGAGGGGGCGTGGCACACGAGAGTGTAGTGATTAATGTTATTGTCCTCTAGATGGCAGTAGTGCTAAAACGGGATATATATTAATAACAGGTTGGAACACGATGGTGAGAGGAACGTCTTGCGGGCTTGACTAATAAAGAGGCTACACGCCAGTTCATACATTTAATTCCAAGAGTGTTTATTCAACAAACACCACATGGTACCAGAAGTGAACAGTCTTTGATGCAACAGAGATGGATGCTGTTAAACCACCGGAATCTTTGAAACTCACCGGTAATGTAGATAGCAGCTGGCGGACGTTTAAGCAGCGATTCGTGCTTTACATGCAAGCGGTTGGCCTCGATAGTGAACAAGATTCACGGAAGATAGCGTTGCTCCTGACGGTAGCTGGTCCTCAAGCAATTGAAGTATACAATACTTTTACATTCGTGGACGCTGCGGCTGGAAGGAAGTATGATGAAGTCATGAAGAAATTTGACGAGCACTGCTCGCCAAAGAAAAACGAAACATATGAGAGGTATGTGTTTCGCTCACGTACTCAGTCACAGGGTGAAAGTTTTGACTATTTTCTAACTGATTTGAAACTAAAGGCAAAAACATGCAACTTCGGCGTCTTAACTGATTCAATGATCAGAGATCAAGTTGTCTTTGGGATTTTTGACAAGAAGATAAGAGAAAGATTGCTCCGAGAAACTGAGTTAACATTGGATGGTGCTGTTAAGATTTGCCATGCGAGCGAACTTGCTTTGCAGCATTCTAAAACTTTCGGTGATAAGGGCAGTACTTCTGTTACTGACAGTCCAGTAGTTGGCGCTGTTACTCACAGGACGAAAAAATGGAGTCAAAAACCCACTTCGAAATCATGCGCAGATTCTTTCAGCTGTAAAAGATGTGGTTCAAAGCATCAACCTAAACAATGCCCAGCATTTGGAAAACAATGTGCAAAATGCAAAGGCATGAATCATTTTGCTAAGCAATGTTTTTCAAAGAAAAATGCAAGGCAATCAACGAATGTTAACGTTGTGGAGGAGACTGACTTGTCCGACACTTTCTTTGTGGGCATGATCAATAGTGATGCAGGAACAGTACAGCATGAGTGTGACACAAAAGAAAGAAATGATTCGGATATGACCTGTGTGTCTAAGGACAAATGGATCGTGTCGCTGCAGGTCAATGGAGCAATTGTGCTGTTTAAGCTTGATACGGGAGCGAAGGCCAATCTCATAAGCACAAGTGATTTAAAGGAACTGAAAATCAAGCCCTACATAAAAAGAAACCATGTGTCACTCAG